CGGCGAGCAAAGAAGCTGAAACTCATTGAGCGACCACTCCTTACTTTTCAGCTTTACTGAGACGAGATGGAGAGAGTAAATCACACGAGTATTCAGCCTGTCTCTAGCTGTCTACTTGTCTCCCCCTCTCTTTCTCTTTCTTTAAGGGGTGACAGCGCCTATGCTTTGATCTCCGACGCTCTTTGGCTCTTGGGGCGAGAGGATAGAGAGAATAGACGGCGGGTGGCAGGGAGAGAGCTTCACAGCCTCATAAAATATGGATTCATTTGAATGGGCTTCTCCTCCTATTGTGCTCATCTGCCGTACAACTATCAAGTGCATTGCTGTGGTGAATGGAGCCACATGGGAGGTGGGAGACAATGACCAAAGCTGCTTAGGATGAAGGCTTTACATGGCGGCCAAGACTGGAATTAATGCGTTTCTGGTGACTTTTTAAAGTCCAACTGACACCAAAATTAGGTCTTGCTTGGTTTGTGACATGTATTCCTATTATGTGAAAATTGTAATAAGCAAAAAGAAAAATTTAGATTTTCAACTAGCACTGTAATTTGATTGGTGCAATACCTGTGTGGGCAGGAACAAAAGATAATTCATAAGAGAGAGGTGAGGTATTTCTTCTTCATGGGACCTTATTTCAGAAAAAAGTACTTGTGGTAGATAACGGCGAGAAAGAAATACGTTTTTGTTCCCGTTTGAATTGTTGCCAAACACATGATGTTTGTCAACTCAAAAGATTACTTTGCAAGTCGAAAAAGTCCAAGTTTGTCGTAGGTTTGTGAAAATATCATTTGGTTTTGTGTGAAACCGCTCAGTGAACTCTCGCCTTGCCCAGTATACCACCAACACCAACACGGCCATTAACTTGGCACATTTCACATTGTTCTTGCAGAACGAGGAAAAAAGTATTAAATTACGTTAAATTCACAAAGTCTGGCCATGTTGAAAGCTGCAGCTATGCGAGAGGAGAGTTCGTCAGTTTGCTCGTGTGAGTACATCCCAGTACGAAACACACAGTCCTAGCTTCAACGAGAGAGAAAGTTATGACGTCACTTAACGTAACTTTTGGTGATGACAGAATCAACACAATTCAAACGGGATCCAAAAAACATTTTGTCTCTCGCCGTTGACTACCGTACATTTCTTTTCCAAAATAAGTTCCCAAGGTGGTCAACTGGAAGGGGCGGGACTTTGCTGCTGTCGTATATCACTCAAATTCCAACGGCCTACTTGAGGACAGACGTTGTTAGCTGTTGCTTAACGCATTCTCTCTACATTATTCCCTACATTACACAGAGTCCTGATTCAATTCATGTTTTAAACACTGGGGTTAAAATGGACTACATTTGACTTGTGGCAAACAATGCTAACGCTAAGAAGCTAGGTTCACTAACTAGTTTTTTTTGCGTCTTTCAGCTCGTTGTTTTGGCTTTCCGGCCTGCAGCTTTGCTCTTTTGGTCCGCCCTCATATATCTATCTCATTGTCTCATTTCCAGCTGCAGCAGGCAGCTGCTTTTTTGTTTAGTTTAGTTTTTGAGCAAAAAAAACTCAAACGATCCTCTCCCTGCTACCTGCCTGTGAAATCTTCAAACACATGAGAATCACAGCTGTATGAGAATACAGATTCTCATACAAATAAGACCAAATGAAACCCCCTAAGGTCTATTGTTCTTCCCCTCTGCTCTTCTGTATCATCCCAGAGCTGTCGGTTTAATTCTCCCTCTCCTTTTTCAACTTAGCGTCCTTTGTTTCTTCTTTTTTTTACAAACACTAAGTTTATTTTTAGTCAAACTTTCCCTGCGTCAGGGTTGCTAGGTAACGGGCGGTTTGAATGATGTGAACCAAGCCAGGAGAGATGTACGGCTGTATAGCCAAGACGCACAGAAATGTATCGCTTCCAATATGCCCATATTGCTTTGGACGTAAAGACAGAAGGGAAATCATGTGATGGAAGGTGTTTTTTTTTTTTTTCTTCAATCATCTTTTGCCTGCTTTTATTTTCTTGATTTAACTCCTTCCTCCATCCTCTTCATCTCCTCCATACTTCCTGTTATCTATGTCTTCCTCTCACTGTGTCTCTCTGTTCAGGTTGTGACTGTGTGTCAATGTGACTGAATCCAATATCCGCCGCAGAGAGTGCAGTGTTTATCTATTAACAACAAAGAGACAGGAGCTGCTCTTCTTTTCTTTTTTTATTGCACCTCTCAGCCTGACAATAAACATACATTTCACACACACACACACACATGTGAACATGCACGATTCACATTTACTTGTCGGGTGAGCTGCACAGGAATGCATCCGGGGGCCGAGCACATTGTGCCCTGAGCGGAGGTGAAAATGTGGCCGTGCTCTTCACCTCTGGACTCCGCTGTCTTGACTTTTCTCCTGCTTTCAACCTGTATATTCAACTCGCTGAAATACGCTGAAATGACTGCACTCTGTGATTCAGGACGGTTGCTCTGACATGTTGCACGGTGAAGTCGAAAATGTTACCAACAGGCTGAATGTCCTTTAACTCTCTCCTTCTGCTCTTGTCTACTGCTGTGGTTTCCGCCTCTCATCCTCTGTGCCTCTTTTCCTCCGTGTCGCCTCCCTCTCCTGTCCGGCTGCAATGATCACTCCCACTATAGGAAGTGTGCAAGCGGGACGACTTGCATGTCCAGCCGAGCCTTATTCAGCTGCCTGTAGACTCAGGGGTATGTAAAGCACTGCAGCTCTGCCTTCCCGCCCTCCCCTCTGCCCTCCCTCTCCACCCGTTTCTCCTCACCCTTCCTTACAGAGGCTTTGCAGTCATGTGTCAGGTCTCTCAGCAGCCACAGCTGGAGGTTGCATTCTTGTCATAAATTGTTGAGTACACAATAGTAGCAGAATAACTCAAAGTGTGGGCAGGTCCTGTGTGGGCCTTGCTTTTGGCTGATTAACAAACCCTATAGACCATTTATCAAACTCCAAGCTCATGCTAGCTGCTAGTGTCTCAAAAAGGGGCCACTCTGCCCAAATTACAAAAGAAAAGCTGCTGTATTTTCTACTTTGCCTTTAGTGATATGCACATCGTTTTATTCACAGAGGTTTTCAGGGTTTTTTTCCACCGCTGAATGTTTTGCTGCCAAACCAATTCAATAGAGTACCGAATGTTGGAAGTGAATGGCCAGTTCATTTTTTTCAGCTCAGACATCAGATGGCTTGCAATTGGAGATCTTCCAAAAGATGAGCAACTGTGTTAGAAAATCTAGTTCTTTGATTAAAAAAAACAAAAGAAGACAAAGGTACAAGCCTTTGTACGTTGAAATGAGCATTATGGTGAATATCCAATCACAAAGCTTAAAACAAAGCAATCAGAAGCTAAATATTACTCCTTGTAGTTCAAATCAATCAGCTTTCTTTAGTCTGGGTCAGTGTTGGGCAGTAAGGAGTCCCCAGCAATGAGTGGTGTAACAAATCACAACTTCCAAAACAGTTGTTGGCTAGCGAAAGTAATATGATAATACTGTATACAGGTAACTTAACTAACTACTTTTGATGCCATGTAATAATTCAAGAAATGTTATTACATGGCATCATGTATTTTAAATAACTTTCACTTCCTGAGAAACTTGCCCAACACATGGTCTGGGTTAACTCTGAACAGATTGCGGCGCTCTGTTCCCAGTTACGACAACCACTGGCTTCGTATCCCGCTGGGGCTTATGGGTAGAGAACCATTTAGTCTCTCCGAACTGGTGGCAAAAAAAAAACATGATTTTGCAGAAACCAAGTTGAAATTGTTAAAACTGATGTCCGTAACCAGACACAACCAATCCATCAACACAATGGCAAAAAGTATTTTTTTCTGTCGTGTGGTGATGGTACAAGCCTCGACAATTCAAATCTTAAAACCTCTAGTGAATCGCTCAACACCAATTGGGCTAAATGGAAATGCATGTAGGGTGTTTTTGAAAGTTGAGTGACCATAATAGAGCTGTAGAATCACCTATGTTGACAAAAAGCAGAGGACCTCCAACATGGCTGCCAGAGAACATGTCACATCATCAAAAGGTCCTCTAACCCGCCTTCTGCATGATGCCCTTGCTGCTGAAACCAACCGGGGCAGCGAGTGACTGTTCAGAAGAGAAAGTGCTTCAAGACTTGCGTCACTTTTATCGTGTGTGTCTTCCTCTTCATGTTCTTTTTTTAAAAAAGCAGACTCCGCGTCAAAGCTCAGATTGAACACTCACCTCCCACCAGCCCTCCACCCTTCTCTTTTTTTCCGAATTCTAGCCTCGGGGGTAAGATCGCTATACCGGTGCTGTTAAAAAAATGTCTCTCTCTCTCAGTCTTTGTTTTATCTGGCTGGAGGATAGAGATGAAGCGAATGAGAGAGAAAGTGGGGGATTGAGTGCTGGGGTTTTTTTGTGTTTGGGAGGCACCGGCACAGCCAGATAAATCCAGCCGGACTAGAGGATGAGAGCTAATAAAGAGAGGGGGGGAGATCAACTCTGTTTGCATTACCCAGGCTCTTAAGGCAAGGTTAGAACACTCTGGGAAACGGGGCCTTTGAAAAACAGATGGTTGTAAGTCTCGTCCTCGTGCCCTCTAATTTTACACTGTCGATTGCTATCCAGAGTTGATCCCCGAGCTTTCAAATGGGCAAATGTTCCAAATTGTTAAAACGCAGCAGCCCACTGGAGACTTTTAATGCTTTATAATGAGGATTTGAGTGGAGTCTGCTGGCTGGTTATACCTGTTGTTATAGTTTGATTTACCTACATTGCCTTTTAAAACTTTGCATTCATTGTATGTACTAGCCGCCTACAGATGTCCAGGACTGCCAATATTATAATAAAGTCATTCAATCAAATAAAAAAAGGAACGTAAATTTAATTACCATTTTATTTTGAAGTTTATGGTGCGCATTATCTTCCAATTTGGAAATTAATTTCATCATCATTTTGATTTTGGCAATAACTGCTTTTTTTAAGTTGCGGCGTGGAGGAAGAATCGTACTTTTTGGTGAATCACTTCCTTTTCATCCAGTTTCTCTTGGAGGTGTCCTCAAATGGACTTGTGGTCAAATTTCCATCCAACTGTTGGATGAAAATTAGGCACACATGTTCATGTCACCCTCAGGAAAAATTGTAATAACTTTAAATGATGAGGCGATCTGCCTCTGCTATCATTCTGGTTTTATTGCTAATTAACAAAAAAAAAAACACAATGTCACGAATGGTGATTACGGTAAACTGCAAACATCTGACGGTTCCATCTTGATCGTGTTAGCATGCTGACGTTAGCATTAGCTCAAAGCTTGGCTGAGTACAGCCTCGTAGACCTGCTAGTGTGGCTGCAGACTCTTGATCTATTTCATTTTCATTAAAAAATAAGACAAAATGAAGACATTCTTAAAAGTCTAGTTTGTGGGGTTTATTATATTTTGAAAAATAATGACTGTGGCAGTTTTTTGCAGTACAGGCGAGATTTGATTTTTAATTTCCATTGAAAAGATGGAAATAAGAGATGTTACTATTTTAATATGTACATACAAGTGAGAAAAATCTACTTTGATTAAACGATTTCATTTAAATATCAGCACTCCTGGACTTCCATACATGTGTTGTTGTGGCGGACATTGGTGGTGTTAGTTTAGAGGTTTGCTACAACAGCACAGGTATCCTATCCAATTCTGGACCGATGCGTCTCAAATGCAGCTGTGGTAGGATGCAATTTTGGTGGACAGACACACACACACACACACACACACACACACACAATTACCCCTCTTCCTCCTATCAACATCCACCCGCCGTCTCCCATTAACAGCCTTTTTAAAGCGGTGTAATTGAGATGCCCTGGTGTCTATTATTGTCTGGCTATCAGCAGCAGGCCTGGTCTGGCCTATCTCCTGCTGCCGCCACCGTGCCCAAATTGGGGTGGCGGAGTGTAAACAAGCTATCCAAACTACCGGGCTATTCCGGGACAAGGATTTCCCTCGAGTCCTATCCCCCTCGCCACCCCTGCTCCAAAGCAATCATCTCCACCTTTGCTTTCACACCCGTGAAACCTCCAACAGTCCCTTCCGCTCACTGATCCTGGCCCGCAATCTTTCACATGAACACCAACGTACTGAAAATGGACAATGAGAAACATTATCTGACTAACATCTCCTCCGTCCCCAAGATAAGTATTCAAACCAAAAAAATGCAAAGGCTTCTCTGAAGATTGCTTCTTATTTAATTCCTGAGATGCCTTAATCTGGAAAATAAGAGAAAACTTGATGTATGTTTTTTTTTCACCCTGGCTGGATCTTTTTTCTAGAAAGGATTTGTTTTCTGACAGCGTGGATGAGGATTCATGTCTGCCTTTGAAGAAGTTGGTACATCATGTACTAGAGAGGGAAAGGGAACAAAAGAGACAAAAGACACTGAGAAGATGATGCAGACAGACAAGATAGAGAAGACAGAGAATGTTAAGGAGGAAACAGCAACCTGGGGGAAAGAGAAGGAAATTCTGTCTGAGTCTGAGCTGGATTAATCTCCCCCTTGCAGTCTGATGTGGTTTCACTGTAGCCAGTTGACTGAGGGTTCCGAAATAACACAGTGCACTCTTGATAAGCAACGGATTAGTGCAGAGCAGATCTTAGGTCAGCTCGATCTTTTGACACAATCGGTCAGAAATGTGCAGTTTGAGCTGCTCTTTCTGGGTCTTCCTGCTAGTAGATAGTGTACTACTGCTGCACATAGATCAATAGTTAATAAACTGTTACTTTTTTTATCATGCAGCCTGAAGAGTCACACTTTATATTTCCCGAAAGCAATGATTATTAACCAAGTGTAGCCAAGCTATCGAGCCAAGAGAAGTAATAGCCTCAGTTTATCTTCCGCAGTGTTTGTCCTGCAGGTATAAGGGAATCATCTGATTGCATTAACTTCTATTGAATAAGTGAAGCTAGCGTCACCTAACCCCACAGATTAAAACGGAATCATTGTCAGATCATTGTGCTGCAAAAATGGGCTTTGAAAAGAAAAAAGGATGAGATATTGTTTAAATAAGAATTGTTTTACTTTTTTACCAATATATTTGTTCATCATTTTGTTGCAACTCTCATATGAAGCAGCAAACCTTTACATTGCCTTTTGATTTGACGCGCCCCTATATATAAATAAATAAAAGGCCTTAGCATGGAGAACGACAGCAGCCAGTCCACGGAGGACACATGGATGATGATGATGGTTGTTGTTCTCAGTGGGTAAACTGGCGATCCTGGAAATAATTTCAAAACCTGGGTCACCTCCTGAAAGCCAGCTGTTTTGTGTGTGTGTGTGCCTGAGAAAGGGGAGATGAGGGTCAGGTTGTCCCATCGCTCGTCACCTGAGCCCGTCAGGTCTGGTCCTTGTGCTTATACTACAAGATCCTCTCAAATCCCCGGGCCTAGCGTTGCTTTTCCTGTGAGTACACAAACACACTTTGTCACCCACTGCAGATGCAAGCTCCCAACTGACCGCTGCTCAGCAGGAACCAAAACCAAGACCAACTGCTCTCCTCTCTTTCCCCTTTTACCTGAAGAAGAGAGAGAGAGGGGGAGGAGATAAGGTTAAGCACCCACAATGCTTAGCAACGATGCTCCGCTGGGTTTGCCCTATCGCAGCAGTCCTTTCTGATTGTTTGACTTTAGGTTGATGAGTCCTGTGGCAGAGGTTCTTTCGCAGTTTTTTTTTATGTTTAGTTATAAATTGTTGTGATTTTGGGCCGTATGTCCCGGTGAGAATTTGCCTGCTGTATAATCTATTGGCCAAACATTTCTAAAATATAGCTTAAGTCAAGTTAGCAGTGATGTGTGTCAATACTGCTCCCGATCAGAATCAACTTAAAATATTTTTAAGATTACAAATTTGAATCTGGTTTCAATTGCTCTCTTATGTACGTATCCATTGCAAAACAAATCTTCAGTAAGATATACATAGCAAACACCTCAGAACAAGGAGAAGAAAATAAACCAAACTAACCGTATTGCTATTATGTCCAGCCAAGTATATGACTCGTGTTGGGAATTCTGGAAATGAAGAATTTCAAGTGAATGTAGACTTTTGGACTTCATTTTAACACAGTAAAGAGATTGATTTAGAACTCAAATGAAGCTTGGACCTTTCAACTATTCAGTACAGCCCTACTACACAAGTAGTAATCACTATAGTAAAAGTTTCTCTGTGATTCAGATCATGGTATATCTGGAAGTGCTAAGTCAAAGGCAACTGGCTTTTGATTCATCCAAAAGGCTCCTTAAGTTGAATTCCTTACTTCTTTAGTTAATTCAGAACATCCTGTTATAATAATAATAACAACAATTGCAAAACTACTTTCATGCAAGGACAGAACGGTGTAACAGAAAATTGACTGAAACTGCCCTTCTATTTTTTTTTGTCTCCTATTCTACTGGAGAAACCAGTCTGGGGCACACAAACAGTGGCTTTAACTAGAAGGAAAAAGTTCAAAGATAGCTATAGATGGCCGCAGATTGTACACAAATACAACATGCAGTATATCCACACCCACTGTGTCCTTCTCTTACACTCATTGGGAGTATAAAGAAAGTAATTTGTTAGTTTAAAAGGAGGTGCACAGTGATTAGGTCCCGAGGCCTTTTCTGCACACAGTTTATTCACTTTGCTACCACAGAGGTCTGACTCACGGGGTCGGCATTCTATTAATCCAGAATCCACCTGGCACCCTCGCAACACATTAATGCAGTCTGCAGGCTCTGGCACAGCGCAGCAAAAACAAGCAAGAGCTAGGTTTTGCGAGTGGAAGTCAGCGTGAAGCAAAGGGGAGAGGAGAATAATTCAGAGCCTGAAAGAGATGAACCCAAATGTTAATGCGAGATAGTGAGAAAGACTCCATTTGACATCGTTGTCTGGAACGATGACAGAGAACGAAACGAGGAATAAACGGTTCTGATTTACGGACTGCCTCGCGGCACAGTGAAGAAACATCGGTGTTGTGTGTTTGTGTGTAAGTGTGAGGCAGACCTAGCAACCACACTGAAGCTCTTTTGTAGCCGTTGACAGGTCACGGCAAGTAAAAAGAATGGCCAATGCGGCCGATGTGTTGTTCAAGAAAAAAATATGCCTGCCAGGTTCTCTTTGAAAAGTGCCATGTTGCATTTTACCAGTTGAACTTCAGTGTGGTTTCTCCATGAACCTTCTCACTGTCCTTTGCATGGCAACACTTGGCGTAGTTGAACTTTTTTCACCGTCTCTCTGTACCTGTGATCGAGGAGACCACACCCTCACTCGCCCTGCCTACAAGAGGGAGGTTGCCTCTAGGGACTGATCCAGGGCCAGATTCGAGCAGGGACTGATGCAACACCGAGACTTAAGCTAAAGCCAAGCAGGGATCTGTGTTTAGAGGCAACTTCAACCCACGTGCTTTCTGTGAACTCCCCTAAGAAACAGATATTTTCGCAGGTGCTCTCTTCTGACTTTTTGTGTGTGTTTTTTGTGTCAAGGGCGATGCCTCTAAATCAGGCTCGGAGATCGATTCCTGTACACGAAGCATGGAGGACGTCAACGGCAGCAAGAAGGATTTATCGGCCTCTGCAGGTGAAATATACGCGTGTGTGTGTATACAGGCGGCGCATTTCGTGGCTGCTCGAGTCAATGATGCTGCAAGAGGAATTCAAAAGAACAGAACTCAACCCTCAGGGAGTTTTTCAAAAGCCTCTATTGACATAACTTGTACCATCTGTGTTCGCACAGTAAACTGCTGGCACATTCCCTCCCTGAGCTCTGTTGATTAGACACTGTGTTGTCTTTCTTACAAAATGTATGTAATCGCTTGTGATACAGCAGCAAGTTAGGCCAGAGGAATCTGAAGTATACCCTGTGCAAACATCCCCCACCTGTTCTACGTCTCTGGTCTCCTGGTCTCAGCCTGTGTCCCCCCCCCCACCCCCCCGTTGCTTTTCCAACCACACTCAGTCGGCACGTGCCTGTGCCGCATCAAACCAGAACAGCAGCCTCATCCATAATTCCTCATACGCCAGTTAACCGCTCCCGCTAATTACTGTTCGCGCAGCCTGAAAAGCCCAATGGAAACACTGCTGTGTGGAGTGCAAACTCCTAGACGTATGTTATCATCTCCCCTTCGGCCCCTTCAGATGCTCTGCGTGAAACCGCTTACATAGCTGGAAGAGCCTAATATACTTCTCCTAGGCCTCGGATAAAGGTTGGAACACCGAGGAATTAGCGTTATTAAAGTTGCATTGCCCCGCCGCATGTCACGTATTTGTGTTGCTGCCAACTATCATATTCTCTCGCATGCATCCCACAAGATTAATGCCCCGTTAAAATATTCATGTTGCCCAATAACAGTACGAGACATCCATTTTTAAGTACGGTGTGCTGCTTTACTGAGGGCGGGCCCCCATGGCGCTCCTCCCTGTGTGCCACCTCTTCCTGCTGTTTTTCCTCAAGTTAGCACTTTCCTTCTCCTCCATAATGCTTTTTTATGAACTTTTTCTTTGTTCCTTCCCAAATATCTCCCACCTCTGTTGCTTTATTCTCATCATCGCCATCTTAAATGCACTAGACTCATTCCTTTTCTTCTCCATTCTTTACCTGGTCCTCAACACATTCTCACATCCAACTCCTCGAATACCGACGCTTGGTCAGCGGCACCAAGCTTCAAACTATGATGCTCTAGGTAAGCTCTATGCTTGGGCGTGTCAGTTTCCGCTTGTTACATGCACAGTGTCTTTTCAAAATAAACTTCCGTACGTAGGTTGTACTTAGTTTTTAGGTTTACGTAGTAACTCATACAGACGCTAAAGGGTGTCTCTGTGCGCCGGTATCATTTTTGACGAGTTGGTTGTGAGGATGGGTTGCTTTAATCCTCTCTAACCCTCATCCTCATTGCTCTAACCCCCTCCTAAACCACTAAATTCAACTTTCTTCATCCCTATTCCTTTACTAGTAGTGCCTGTAAATGGTCATGTGGACCTGAAGACCAGTCTGACTCCACCTCTGATTACCCACACGGCTGCCACCCCCATGCCCGTACCCAAGTTGCCTGTTGGGGGGGACCCCATCCTGGACTACGAGTCCCGTCGAGGCAGCAACGTCTCCATGGACCCAGCCTGCTATGACAAATCACCGGTTTGTATCTTCATTGTTATTCTCACATACAATGAAAGCATTCTTTGGATTTCAAGTGTAATCATCCTTTTCCAGGATGAACATTAACATATCCATCAATACACATGTAAGGTGCCAGGAATTACCCCCAGCCCCCACCGCTATACCTGGCTTTCCTCCGAGTGTCTCTCTTCCATTGTATGTGTCCTGCTGAAGTCATAATGATTGATGATGATTGATGTGACGTGCCGTCTACTAACTGCTGCCACTGCCACTCTTTATTTGACAAACTGATGATCGGGATAAAGACCTGAGAAAAATAAGCCCAGATCTCTATGTCTGCTCCCGTCTGCCTGTCAGCATGAATCTCTGTTCAATTCAGCTCGTGTCAAGCTGAGTCAACCCAATTCAGCTTGGTTTATTTGCCTGAAAGAGCAACATCACCAGAGTTCTAAGACATGATGGACACATTTACACACTGCCCCTCTTGTAATTCTTTTTCTCTGTCCTGCTAATTATCACTCTGTCCCTCTCTTGCCCTCCTGGTCATCTTTCCCGCTCCAGACCAGCGCCCAGAGCTCTTCCCCCAATGCCCCGTGGAGCTCTGGCAGCGGCTGGACCAGCCGCCGGTCCAGCTGGAACAGCCTGGGTCGTGCCCCGTCACTCAAACGCCAGAAGCGGCAGTCTGGGGAGCGACGGTCTCTCCTCTCCGGTGAGGGTGGCTCCAGCTCGGACGAAGGTGGGGGAGAAGGAGGCGGTGGGTTGATGGAGGAAGACGACGCCTCGCTGGTCAGGACGGACTCCATGTCCCAGTCTCAGAGAGGGCCCCGACACCGGAGGATGGAGTCGGTGGAGACCCGGAGCTCCATGGATTTGCCCCCTGATGCTCTGCTGCAGGTAGATGCTGCTTCTACCTCTGATTAATCTCTAGAGTTCTGTGTAAGACATTTGACCTGGAGCACAACTCCTTAAACTGTAAGTCCTTCTCATTGGCATTCTTCTATGATGATGTGTTATTCAGACCAACACCACACGGTATAAGATAATGAGTCTACAGCATCCTTGTGACATGAGTAACTGCATTCTGTCCCTGTGTAGGTGCCCTACCTGTACCGCTCAGCCAGTATGCACAGCTCCAGACCCCCGTCACTGGGCCACTTACTACCTCCAGAGCACAGTGGCTGCAATGGGAAGGGCTCTCCCTCAGCCCTGGGTCCCACTCACGTCTCTCTGGAGGACAACACGGAAGAGGAAAATGCTGAGGAGGAGGCCAACCTGGTCAGTCCGCGCATGTGTGCATGTTTGCTTGTTCTTGTACGGTACAGGTTGTGGTTAGAGACGTAAAGGAACGCCACTGGGAAGCTACAGAAAAAGAAAAACAATAATGGACCCACCCTTTGAATATATTAAAAGATCATCTGCAAATATATCAAGTTTACTGTACATTGATGTTGTTTGACAAACCTTGTTTCATTCATACGTATGAAACAAACAGGTTTCTAAGAACAAGCAAATTCAAAAGCTCCTATCCGTGGAGAGAAACAGTTGCTCCCAAAACGCAAACAGGAAACTGTGAGCACATGAATAATGAATGTGCTGTGCACTTCCTGCCTCCCTCCAGAGTCCTTTTGCCAGAGTGTTCCACTGGCTGGAGAAGAAACAGCCAGAGTGGTGTCGACAGAGGGACACCTGGTCACTGTACATCTTCCCTCCAGAGTCGAGGTAGTATTCACACCTTTCGCTCATCTCCATAACTCTGCCTCTCTGCTCTTTTCACAGTTTATTTTTCTTCTATATGGGCAATTTTTACATGTTCACAGAAGTTGTGGGTACACAGCACTCCAAACCGAAAACACTTGTGAACTGTATCCTCCTGTAGCAGTTGAGATAAATTTGGTTGTGTTTTTTTAAATGAAATTAAGTGTAAAACAATAAACGAGTCCACAGCACTTTTTAAATGATTGACTTTTGTTACCGTACAGTACAGGAAAAGACTGATCCAACGTCTTGACAAGAATAGGATTTTTCACGTTGTATTTGACTGACATCCCATAATGCTGACTGTAATGACGGAGTGTTTTGTTTTTTTTTTGCTGCAATGTGTGCACAGCATTTGTTTTCTTCCCTTCCCCTACCAGCTGCTTTCCCCTCCCACAATTTTAATTCAGAAGTCTCTTTTTCTGCACATTTCTGCCATGTCAGGGGTGAGTAAGGAGCAGAGGGAGGAAGGGAGCTTCTCCCACTGAGTGCTGCATGTTATCCCTGGCACGTGCTGAATCCATCGCTTCCCACCCTCCTTCGCCCCCCTCTTCCTTCTCTCCTCCTCCCCTTCTGGGGCTTTGATCCGTGTGTCTCTGCTGTCTGTTTGGAGGATGTGGCTGTGAAGGCAACACGATGCAACACGCTGGCCCCAGTCTGCCGCCACAGCGCCGCAACATGCTAATTAAACATCAAACAACAAGTCCCCCCCGCCCAAACACACACACAAACTAAATATAATGAATAGGAACTTAATGTTATCCACCACCAGTATCATATAATGTCCATTCCAAATTATTCAGATTCAAGTATTAAAGATACATTGAATTGAATAATTGAATTGATTAACGGTGTATGTACCCACAGTGTTTGTTTGAACTTTGCCAAAATTGTAATTACCAAAAAAGAATAAATGTAAGCTTTATTTATTTCTCTACAGTATATGTGGCTCTACATAGTGTAGTTTGTTTTGACTACTACTGACAATGTAGGTACTGTAAATGGATTATTGCAAGACAGTATTTAGCCTCATTTCCACTGCATTGTACCGGCATGACTCGACTTCACTTGACTCAACTCACTTGGAAGTTGTGGGTATAGTACCTGGTACCATGCAGTGGGAATAAGGCATTTGTCGAGGTGGGAACCAAAAATTGTCTGAAATACTACTTCTTTACTGTTCCAACAGCAACATGCTAACTTGTATGCTAATATGCTAGCTTGACATAACAATGCGGGAAGCTACCAATGACTCAGCAGATGTTAGAATCGCATGACTGAAAAGTGAGAATCAGTGCCAAAGTCCGCAAACCAGACTAACTGGCCACTACTTTCCGAGTGGAAGCTAGTTAGCCTAGCTTACGAGGTTGTAAACTTTCTAAGCAGACACTTTAGGATGGGTCTTTCCAAATGTTGAATGTTCTAAAGTGGCAGATGAATTAAAATGCTAACTGTCGATAGCTAAGGATATGTGCACTCAGTATGCGCAGGTAAACAGGGTATACCCACCCCTTCTGGCGATTTACAGTATACCCACCTATCAGCCAAATAGCCATTGGAATATATAGGAGTTCATACCAACTTCTTCATCTGGAAACTACCTGCTTTGTGCATTTGTTAAAAAAAAGGTTGTAAAAACGATCAAAATCACTGTTCAAAGGATATACACTGTACGAGGTGCTCTAGTCTGTAGCATACTATGGACGTTGACAACGTGTCTATGTCTTATAGTTTAAGACAATTTCAGTTCAAATTAAAAAGTAAAATCAGTTGGAGGCAGCCAACATCAATATCAGTATGAAAAGGTTTTCCTTTGATTTGCAATAAAGAAACAGCCTCCAGTTTGCATTTGAGCTGTTTCAGAAGTTCTGGATGGTTCTCTTCTCTGTCGGCCATATTACATGATTTGGAAAAGGTTAATAGGAAAAGCTCCCTGCAGGCTGCTACTGTCAGAGTATTATTAAAACCGAGGGGTCTTGGCTCAGACCGGGCTTCTCGCTGGCTTTCAATCGCAGCGGGCTGCAAGGTTTGGCTGTTGCAGAGAGTGACACAGAGGACACAGGCTCTGCGTGGCACCCATTCTGGCCTTGAACCACCGCGGACGCCCACCTGTGCTCACAATTACATCAAGAGACAGCAGCTGGGTGGGAGGCCGGAGTCCAGCGGCTCTCACATGGACCCGAGTTCACCTCAACCTGCCTTTGTGCTCTCTGTTGTTTCTGCTGCTACTGATGATTACCGCGGGGGATGTTTTCAGTGAGCGGAGGAGTGGGCCGGCTATGAAGGTGCACTGTGATGCAGTCACTGGGATTAGATGTGTTCGCTGCAAGACTGGGGCTGTGTAGGAACAGTGGAATATCAACATGGGGGCCGGGGATGTTCAGGACTCACTGAGGGTTGTGCACGCAGTCCCGCATACAGTATATAATCATATTATGTGGAACTACATTATACCCTGGGGGGGGGGGGGGGATCTGAGCAGCACAGTATAAGATACAGATAAGAAGAGAACAAATACACAGCAGGGCGGATGTATTTGGAGTTACAGTAACTTATTGCAAAAGTAATGATCTGTGGCGTTTTCTAAATGTCGAAACTTTTCTGTGCTGCTACTTCCCATTCCCATTCGGGAGTTCCCGAATGATAGAACACGACAGTGGTTCAGCCGATAGCTGAAGAACACATTAAATGTTCTCGCCATCTGTCAGCTCTTTGGAGGAAAGCAATCACCCAGCACACAGGAAGTGATGCGCAGAAGGAGAACTGGGTAATTAGCATGAGTGGCTCTTATCTTTTCTTGCCATTCCACACAAAGGGGTCAGGCCAGTCTGCCGGGGCGCCCACAGAAACCCGAACTTCTACAAAAGAACTTGTCACACTACCCCATACACTGCTAAAGTGACTGGGAAGTGCAGTGCAAAAACACCACAGAGATGCGAAAAATAAGTTTTTAAAAATGTAGAGGATGAATATTAAGCATGTTAAAATCAGCAAACATATTGAAAGGAAAGTGTCAAGATGTACAGAATTTTATGAGAGTAGTATTTGGACACGCTTAGTGACATTTCAAAAGTATAAAACGAACAGAAATCAATATTTAAAGTTACTACATGGAACAATTAACAGGTTATGAAACAGTCTCAATGCAATACTGATGCATCTATATGAGCCACATAAGTAAACAAGACTGCAGCATGAAGATTGACCATTTCTGTGTAGTTATTCCTAATGCTGGTCATCGGTGCCACTGTGTTGGATAGGAGAGGTTTTCTAAAGACCCCCCAAATTCAACACAATATGAAAGTTCCTTGTAGTAGCCTAAAGTCAATGTCAACTGTCCTTTAGAAGCAGTTGAGGCATTGATGCCATAAAACTAAAAAAGGTCAGTAAATACCATCAAAGCAAAAGCAAACACAGAATATGTTCATATAAACACCCATGCATCAAGATGTAAGTGATTTTATTAACTTCTTTAAATCCTAAATCTAACAGAAATGGGTATTTCTGCTCTTTGCTCGAGCGTGTAGTGACAGTTTTTTATTTTCCCTTTTTTTCTGGTGGTCTTTGATGTGTGTGTTTTTAAGTCTTGGGGGCCTTTTTGAGCTTCAAAGTTCCCAGCCGGCCTTCAAACCGTGGAGGAGGAGCTGGCATCAGAGGCATGTGTTTTTCAGAGTGTGTGTGAGTGTCCCCCCCCCCCCCCCTCTCTCCTGCTTATGAATTCTTTAGCACCAAGGCTCTGACATGACAGATATCAAAGATGAATTAGCTCACCCAGTCTGTATACTGTATGCATTATGATCACCACAGCCAGACGCGCGCAGACTCAGCAAGTGTTGACACAATGGTGTCTGCATGGCCAAATAAAGCCCAAAAAAATCCAGATCTGAGCCCCACAATATCATCCCCCCGCTGTACGCCGATGTGAGCCATCAAAGCGGATTTGATGCACAGTTTAATCCCTTCCACAGCCATGTGTAACGAGCGCTCCCCTCTTTCTTTCTTCCCGTTGTCGTGAGCTGAAAGCCAGGGAACCTTGTCATGTCTGGTAATGACAGTCAGTCATAATGAATAACCGCATGTTCATGACACAGTTTCTGTATGTGAGACAAGCTCTCTTAAATGGAATGAGAGTCTTTCATTGATAGCTAAGTGTGAACAGTGTTTCAGTCAATGTACATGTACAGTATGTAATATTATTCCAGGTTTTATAGAACTTACCTGGGCCGAGCTGCGGTCTGGACAGGCATTTCGTTGTTTGCTTGATCATTTCCATGTCATGCTACTTTAAAATCATACACCATGGCAATTCACAGGGAAGATGTATATAGGCGACTTTGCAGATTAAGATTTTACAGCCATCGTAGGGGAGTGGGAAGACATTCCCCAGGAGGCACACAACGACCTGATCAACTCTATGTGAAGGAGATGTGTCGCACTGCATGAAGCAAATGGTGGTCACACCGGATACTGACTGGTTTCCCAAGGTTCCATAATTCTCAGTGTCTGAGAACTCGTGAAAAACGGGAGCAAAAAAAAAAACCCAAACATAACAAAACAAATATTGCAGCCTCTCGCTCTATACAGGACCAATTATAGAAATTGTCGTCCCCATTAGCCACAGCAACATTGGAAAAAAAGACAAAGTTTTAAGACAAATACAAATCCGTTTTGAATTATATGTGCCTGATGTGGTTTTCCAAATAAATTACTTCGTTAAATATTCTTATTAAGTAAAATATTTTTTCTTTTTATCAAAAAACACACTTGTTGGTGCACTCGCTTGTTTTAGTTACATACTTATATGCAAAGTCAATTTCCACTGAAGATTTACATTTCTGTGTTTTTCTTTTGTCAGGCTTCGGATCGTGTGCAATAGGATCATCAACCACAAGATGTTTGACCACATTGTGTTGCTCATCATCTTCCTCAACTGCATCACTATCGCCATGGAGAGGCCTCGCATCACCATTGTTGTGAGTCTCAAAACTTGTTCAACCCTCATCATACCGACTTTAACATGCAAGGACCGCCGACTGGGGACTAAACTGCTGTTAGAAACAACCATCATAGCAAAATGGTTAAGTTATTTCTTCTCAAAGTGTTAACGGTTATGTAATTAATGTCATCCCAAAAAATATATGTACACTCCCCTGATAGTGTGTGATATTTTCAATTAGGATCCATGACCAACATCAACTCAATAAATAGTTCCATCTACTAAAACTGCAGAGGAGGAATTAGGTGCTTTTAGGACCCCAGGACATGTTGTATAATTTAAAAAGCACAAATTATAACAGAAAGAGAAAACACTTATGCGACGTCATTTGGAACAAATTGTGATATATGAGCAAACACGCAACTACACACTATATGACTATTTGCCCTGTAAAGTTTGAGTCTTCGAAGAAATACAACTCAAGTGTGTTGCCTTCACGGTCTTCAATGACAAACGCAGAAATAAGAGGAGAAAAAGGAAAGACGCGCTGAAAGAAAGGCAAACGGGCTAAGAAGCATACCCTCATATATATATATATATATATATATATATATATAATTCAAAAAAGTCCAAACTGAAAAGGGAGAAAGTAGCTGTCAGCAAGTCCAACCTTGATGGCAGTTGAAACCATAGATTCAAACACACGCACACACACACTCGCCCAAAACAGAATTACTACTGTTGTTTGCTCTCCGCGGAGAAAAGGAGTGGAACACTGTGTGAGCAGGGAGCCACTCCTGTGTGACTGTGAGCCAGTAGCTGTGGGTAATGTGTGCTATACCCCCCTGTATCTGCTGCAATGCATCATCAACACTATCACCCCCTCAGCTAATGCACCATGCCTTCAAACAGAGGAGGGCTGGCTGAATGCCTCGCAGCAACGCACACACACACACACACACACACACACACACACACACACACACACACATATCTAACTCTGACTGTGTCCTTTCCCACTTCCAGCTAGCAGCGGAACACAGCCCAGCCGCTCCGTGCATAATCACAATAATTATCACTGTTTGATTTTTCTTTTTCTTTTTTTTTGTCCCTCACTGAGCGATGTGTTCCATGGATGGGCCTAATTGCGGGTAGTCGGGTCTCGCTGGAGCGCTCCGTTCTGCTTGTTTTGCGACTGAAACACGGAGGAGACTGTGCCGTCGTAATTGATTCAATTATCCGAGGGCTGTGGCTAATGTCCAGGGAAGGAGATGTTTAACAAATGGAGGCCGATCCCACGGGGCAGCCCGTCTAATCTGCCTAATCGGGCCAGAAAGATCACACACGCGTCATATATAGATGGGATGATTTTTTTTTGTTTAGCCTCTCCCCTTTGCATACACTCGTATGTAAATACAATACACCCAAATGCAACACAACGCAGCAGGCACGCTAACATTCAGATCAGGGGGGGCGTAATTTTCACATGCATGTTACATTTTGTCAACTTCCTGTCCGGTCAGCACCCTGCGGCCACAACTGAAATGAGATTGAAATGCATGACGCAGCAAGCAGCCCGAAACAATAGAGGGCGAGATGCTTATCGCTTCAGAATATCATTTGCCCGGGCGAGCATTGCATGATGCCATTTGTTTGTCTGTGTGGGTTGTTTTGCATTAATGAAGCCGATTGCCAATCGATTTCCACTCTCTGGTTCCGTTTAGTCAGCGTATGACAACCGGACATGTATAATGTATCAGTCTCGCTGCTTCTCTTTTGAAGTACCTCCTTTATATATTACTCATGGTGCCGCCTGAAAATAAGCAGCATATATATTCATCAATTTGGTTATAGAGATAACGTGTTTGAGTCACAGCATTTGAGTGTGGAATGCAGTCTGAATAATTAGTTTATCGCCCTGGAAGTTATGTCACACACTTTGTGTTTGGCTTGCAGTCCACTGCTGTTTTGGTTTGGTGCCGGAGGTTGCCTGGATACTGTCTTCCTGTTGCTATGATTGAGGATGATTATACCACCTATTATGATATATTATTCATAATTGAGCTAGGGGACAATACATCACCGTCTAGAATTCTAAATTGAACTTTATCAGCATCGGCAGTGTAAAACACAATCGATCTTAAGTTTTCTGCATCCGTTCCAGACAACATTAAGATGGAGGGATAGCGCTACACGCTGGACCATGATGAAAGCTCTCCAGGAGGTGTGGGTTGATTTCTGCTGCTCAGGAATACAGGAAACGTTTGTAGTTGCATAATTGAATATTAAACAAGATTGTTATGTAACAAAGCACTGCTGTACAGTGATATACTGCATTATTGCTGTCATTGTACAGCACAATGAGCTCCTTAAAAGTTTGAGAGATACTGTACTTTCCAGTGTACAATGCCTTGTGCGTGCATTGTAGATTAGGCCTATGACTGCTGGAAGTGTAAAGTATTGGGTATTGTTTCCACTGGCTTGCAACTATAAGCAAAGTCTGCTGTTGAGCATTACTTCAAACCAGGCCGAGCTAGAATGAGCTGCACAGGCTGATGGCCTGCGGTTCCTAGTCGTGGTCAAACATTCTGGATGCCAGGCGTTGAACCAGGAATAACAACACCATTAGAGATGAGGAACGAGAGGCAGGCAAGAGGGAGGTGTTACTGTCGGTTATCCTTCAATCTTCAGCCTGTTTTTTAATTTATCATTTCGTTAATTTAAGTTGGCCATAAAGCATCTGTATGGAAAAAGTACATTCAACTTAAGTATATTCTAGGTTTGAATTTGGTTGGCTAGTTCGCTAAAATGGCTAACTATGGCAATTCACATGCAGTTTTTCAGCTTACTACTTGAGCCTGCTTGAGAGCAAATTATTATTTAGTTTCTTTCAGGTTGTCCAACATTTAAGTAAACAGATAAATTAAAGTTGATACCATGCTTCCTTTTTGTAGGCAAAAATGGAAACAGCTAGCAACATACTGTACTACGGCTAGCAGCTAATATGTTAGTTTACTTTTCCTGAGCTAAAGTTAAAAACGTATTAGAGACAATTCTGAATTAGTGTACAAAAAAGAAGAAAAAATTATTATTCATTTCAATTTGAACCATAGCTAAATGGAAAAAAATAAGTTGCGTTAACATTGATACTGTGGTTCATTTTTGCAAGGTGGCTTGTTAAAATGGCTAAATTCTCAGTTTGAAACGGCTTATTCCAATTTCCAGCCACTTTTTCAATTCAGTTGGCCATATATAAGCACACATATGCAAAGGGTAACTTCAACTTAGTATTGTCTTATTTTGAAAGCTTGCTCGTTAACATGGCTACAGCTATTCGCGTGCAATAATTTGGCTAGCAAGGTATATTTGTGTAACCTGGCTGCCACAGCTAAAGTTGGTCGGCTTCAACTGGTTGCATAATTAGGCTACACACACCTAAATCCCAGCCTTCTGCCAGAATGTGATTGGACTGACAACAAATTGAGGCGAACTGTTGACTTGGTGAGCCCATGTCTCGTTAACGGCATGCCGCATGAATTTTCACCTCTGCCTCTCTCTACCCCTCCCCCTACCCTCTACCTTCTCCAGCCCATGCCCTGTTCGTTCCTAATGAATGAAAGTATGACAACTCGTTCACAGAGGACAGGAATGGCTGCTGTCAAGCCTGGAATTTATAAACCCTCTCAATGCCAGCATTCCCAGTGATGTCATCCCTGACATTCCCAGAGACTTCACAAAAAGAAAACACAGAGGGACTGCCATCTCTGTGTTTGTGTGTGTGTGTGTGTGTGTGTGTGTGATTTCTGTGTTCCTCGGAGCACGGGTGATGGTTGTCGGAGGCCGTGGGAAAGGCAGCCACCTACGCCTGCTCACACGCACACATCCGCACGCATGCAGTTCATAGACAGTCAGTGGCAGGATGGGGTTGCGTCTCCTCAGACAGAGAGGGGAAGGAGGGTAAACAAGCAGTTGGAGAAGGGATCTTATTCTTTCTTGCTTGCTTGTTTTTTCTCCGTCCTTGTTTAGCTCAATAATTAGGATCCCATCCTTCCTCTGCGTGCACACACACACACACACACACACACACACACCACTGAGGCATGCTGCCTCAGGCAAAAGGGAAGCAGTGCAGTGATGTGCGTACAGACGGAGATCTAATAGCTTAATCCTGATGGTATTTAGTTGCGTCCACGCTCACAATACAAACTGATGGTACTTGCTTTCTCAATTGATTGTTTGTCTCTGATGAAAATACAAAAGACACGCTTGTTTCATCGGAAAACATGTTTCTCAATGCATTCCGCCAATGTTCCCAATGCAATTCATTTGATTCGGGGGAATTTGTGTAACAAGTTTATTTGCACTACGCAATTTTGAATTAATGTGCACATTGTAAAAAAAGTGTGTTTTCTTTTTTTTTTTTCAAGGGTAAAAGGAAACTTTTAAGAATTCCGGCCCAGTGATTAGATGGCTTGTTTAAATCTCCCTGCAGCGTTAATATATAGTAAACTTTATAATTGCCTGCCAGCCATCATTAGCGAGTGAAACAGGGATGTTTGTACAAAGATGTTTTCAGATAGTGTGTGAAGAAAACAGCTATCCTCATACATTATTCAGATCAATTTAGAAGCAGACAAAGAACAAACTCGGTAGAAAAACATGCTCGGAACAAAAATGTGCATTTTGAAAACATTAGAACTCGTTGCAAGTACCTCGACTCACCCTGGTCTCCCTTCCTTCTTCACTGCAGGAGCGGATCTTCCTAAAGTTGTCCAACTACATCTTCACGGCGATCTTTGTGGCTGAGATGGCTGTAAAGGTGAGACACTTTGGATTTCCACTGACACATTAGTTTGTAAAAATCATCTGTCATCTTTCCAAATCCCAGTCTAAATTATCTGGAAGATGTTGGTAACTTCTGTGTATGCTCTGGCCTGTGACTACTATAGTTAGCATTCTAAAAGGTACATGTTTGCTTCGCACTCTTCCATGAAGTCATGACTGACTTCTGTTCCTACTGTTGACATCAGCTCAAATAAGAGCTGGCAGCTCAGGATTCTCTGGGACCACGGCTCATCGTCTGTCTCCAGCTTCGGAAGAAACAAGATAAAACATCTGCGTTCACTCGCAGTGTACACATTTCGGTGGAGAAATCCAGCGGCAGACACTAAGCTGCAGAGAAAATACAGAGTCTGCCTGATACCCGCATGCACTGTAAGCCCCACGAAAATACAAACGATAACAGAGTTAAGAGGGAGGAGGTGGAGACGCACACACTCAGGGCTGTTTCATAACGCTAAGCGGAGGATTGTCTCGCCAGTATTCAAATGGAGCAGCTCTGAATGGAGGTCCGTGCAGGCGTAGGCAGGAGCGAAGCGGAGGGGGACGATGGGGGACTAGAGACTATGGCCCACTGGTGAAAGCCCATTCATTTGCAGTATTACGGACTATTTTGTGGCCGCATAACCTGGGAAAAGGGCACTATTTGCACCTATTTGCATCTCTGAGAAGTGAGATCCAAAAACACGCCTGCACTGTAATTATTGCTTACGGGCGTCTCCAAAGAGAATAACACTTGATGCCTTTCCACCCGTGGGTGCTGCTCTCTGCGCTCTTATCACATGCGCGCCTGGTTTTTATGTGCGTGGTATTTCAGACTGGTTTTGAGTTCTTCATTATCAAATGCGCAACAATTACACCGAAGCAGTCTTAAGCTCCCTTCAGCAATGCTCATTTAATATGTAGGCCTTTATTAAAAAAGGAAAATCACACAACTAAAGGCAAAATGAGAATCCAAGTTCTAAATGTAGAGCTAATATATTTATATAATACAAATGTATATCTTGCCAAGTGTGAACTTATAACCTCAAATGCATGAATTGCAAATGAAATGCACTGTGTTGCAATGGTGAATTCAGCAAAGCGAAGAGTCCGTCTGTAGAAGCTGTCTGGACCGTCACAGAGATCCGTCTTTTATTCATGAGGAGTGATCAGCCTCTTTGATGATTCCCACTCATATACAGTAAATCATGTTATGCATTGATTAGCATCAACTAATGTAAATCATCTTCTATCCATCTCCCTCTTTCTCTCTCGGTCTCTCACTCTCTTCAGTTACATTAGATGTTAAAGAAATGCATGAAGCAGAAATAGCTGTCGTGGCCTGATTTAATATGTGTCAGCTCGAAGAAAAAAAAAGAAGAAAAAAAGTCATCCAGTCTCTATTATTTTCTGGAATGCAAATTGCTTCATTGGCAGAATAAATAATGAGTGGAACCTATAGAATTAAAAATGTGGTTTGGAAAAGCTTGCAGCTTTTTCACGATTTTTCCGCTTCCAAGTAAACAATCGCTTCGCAAAGTCAATAAGCCGTGCTCGAAGGACATCGAGCATTGACTCCAAAGATGGCTCGATAACATGCAAATCTGCAAAACGCGCATACAAAAATAGATATTGAATTACTGATTGGTGTATCTTTTTATGCATTTCATTTGGAGGTGATATTTTATTTCAAATACATCCCGACCTTTTTGCTGTACTGCAGCAGTTTACCCTTTGTGTTATCACGCTGTGACTCTGCTTATTCATTTATCACGTTTCCATGCCTCTACGTCCGATGTTGTGTCCAGATCGTGGCTTTGGGCTGGTGTTTCGGGAACAAGTCCTACCTGAGGAGCAGCTGGAACATTCTGGATGGGATGCTGGTGATGATCTCCGTTATCGACATCCTGGTGTCTCTCATCTCCAATTCTGGTACCAAGATCCTGGGCATGCTCAAATTGCTGCGGCTGCTAAGGACCCTGAGGCCGCTACGGTAAGTGGCATCCAGGGACGCCTCACAATACTTGTTCAAATCGATAGCTGGACGTACTAAAAGGTACCTTTTAAAAGGCCAATACCAACCGACCACACATTTTTCAATACCTCCATTTTCCAGACTCATGGGATGATAAAAGTGCCTGATGTGGAAGTTTCGTTTTTAAGATGGAAGTGGAGCAGAACTGAGCTTTCTTTCAGCTCTGACATGTACAACCTTTTGGAGCTTTTGGGAGATGTGTGTGTGTGTGTGTGTGTGTGTGTGTAGGCATTTAGTCAAGCGTACATTTATTTGTGTGTTATTATCAGCGTGTAATGCACAGTTGAGCGGAAATCACCAATTTGGGGACTGGGTTAGTACTCGCATCTCCAAATATGTGAGTGTGTGTGTGTGTGTGAGTGTGTGTGTGTGTGTGGGCCCAGAGGGAAAACGAGAATGTGTGTCTGTGTACATATCACATGTGTGCGCTTCGACTTGGCTCACACAGCCGCATGCTCGGTGTCTCATCTGGTGAAGGGGAGCTCTCCGCCCCCCCCCCCCTCTCTTTGAATATTCACCGCAGTCCTCCGGAAGAGCACACAACTAATTTTCTCTCTGCCAAATGTACCCACCAAACACGGCTGATCTTTCCTGTCTCTTTGCTTCTATAACTTTCACCTTTGACATGAAAGTGAAATCTTCTGCCGAGTCTTCTTTCGCTCTCCCTGCCTTCAAGCGTATTCCTTCATCTTCACACTGTGACGTTTAATGTCACACATCAGACCTCATGTCCCCGTAATGTAAACAGTGAATATGATTATCAGATTGGCTGTACCAAATACAGCCGTATACCGTCATCATTTTCTTTTCCGCCTACATACTTCGGAGTGCGGTTTGGTTTAACACTGTTGTGCCTGATTAGTGCAGTTAAAGGTAATGTTAATGCTGTCAAACAAGTGGCTTTCTAATTAGATCTGGTGCAACTAGCTGACTGAGCCCTTGAGAAGAGCACCTGATTCTAACTGCTGCTGAATCCTCTCATTTAATCCCCCAGAGGTCAGCGATGCTGAAGCTGCATTAATGTCGATTAAGGGAGGATTTAAGGTCAGATAGAAAATATGAAGCAATTACAAGCGGGAATTGGACACATTTAAAGTTTGGGGCGGGGGGGGGTGTTTTTTAAAAGCAAAGAGCAACCATTTCTCTCGGGACTGATGTCTTCAGTTTGACGAAAATGCAAAATGGCAGAAAGAAATGGGATTAGGAAGACTGTATGAAGACAGCCAGAGAGTGAGCGAGGATGAAACAGGAGAGGATGGGAAGAGAAAGAGGAGTAAGCTGAGCTTGGTTGCTGGTCTCTGTCCTCCGCTGAGGCTGCAGATGAGTTCCGCGGAAAGCAATGCCGTTAAAATCATCTTTTAAGGTAGTTATTAACTTTCAATCCAAAAGGAGGAGCGCGGCATTAAAAGCTGTATATTAAACTATTAATGTGCTGCTGTGGGTGTACTATATGTCTTGGTAACTGTGTACTGCAGGTGCTTAAAACGCTGTTAGAGATAATTCAGTCTGGTCAACACAGTGTAGAGTTATTGCTCGGGTTCCATTAAAGCCATGTTTCTCTTTAAGCAGCGATTAAACGTTCCTTTGGGGAGCTACTGTACGAGTGCTTCAGCCAAACTCAAAGCACAAGCCTAATCTGTTTATTAAAACGGTTGGATCGGTTTGGATACGCTGGTGACTTGGCAAAAAAAAAAGTCCAATTTGAAAATGTGTGGAAAGTAAGGCTATACAATGGGTTTAGAATCGTAAACTCACCCGCGTACTTCCCTGGTGTTTTGGGGACAAGTGCCTGTCGCAGAAAACACCATTTTACTGCAATCTGAAGATCTAAACACACTGAGGTCACACTGGGCATGACCATATCTGTTGGAGACGTGCAACTCCAGTTTAGTCAAGTCATCGTTTCCCTGAAAGAGTTTGGGCGTCATTGGGACATCCCGTCTCTTAAAGTGTCAATAGACAACTTTTCCCGCCACGGCGCTTCCAAGTGGTCTTTTTGCTGGCACCGCCATCGCGAAGACAACCGGATGGCTTTCTATTTTCCACGCAGCCGACTACATAGCGACAGATTTAGCGGCTTATTCAGACAATCGGGAAAAGAAGTAATATTATATTGTAATTCTTTCGCTGCTCAAAGTAATCGCAGCCCACGGCTCTCTTCTGCCACCATGCGGAGGGGTCCCTCCCTCTCCTCTTGCACCTATAGCGCAGTCAATCGCTCCCTTGATGCAACCGACGCAACCGCTGAGCTTCATGCATAATGAGTGTCTGACATCATCTGGCAGATTGCAGCGATTTACGGAGCGAGTGCTCGCTACTTTCATTGAAAAAGATTTGGCAAAACTGCACGGGACACACCGCATTTTGTTTTCCACACTTTGGTTGTTGGTCATTTCCGCTGCTGGGGAGGCTAAATTGTTGGAAGTGGGGTTATATGAGGTTCTTATTCATAGGCAGTGTATTATCTGCACTTGCTGGTCTACCACTGCCACGATTGATTAGATTGTTTGAATTTAATGACTCAGAACTAACCCTTTATAACACAAAGCACACCTTTATTTTAGGTGTCTAAAAGGCGTTTTTTCAGCTGCCCCCTCTCTACAGCAGTATATTGCCTCCCTCCTGTCTGTTCCGCCAGATTAGGGATGTACGGGCAGCCACCTACTGTAGGTAATACACTGACTATAAATAAGTACCTCATACAACCCCGCTTCAAAACATCTGAACTATCCTTTTAAAGTTAAAACCCTTTTTTTTCCATCAATATTCTCCAAATTGTGCCCGTCAAACATACCACAAGGGAGACGCAGCTTCGTCTGCCTGCTTCCCTGTTAGTTTCGTTTTCAGCACTCCAGTTCCATTATGGCAGTCTCGCCCTCGCTTGAATTAAATATAAGCTTGTCTGTGTTTTCCCCTCTGGCAGTGCAGTGGACGCTGGGTTCACACCTGCAGCGTCGCCATCATATTCTTGAGTCGCTCGCTAAATGTGTGTGTGTGTGTGTGTGTGTGTGTAATCGCAGCAAGCAGGTGACTTTGTATCCATTTGTGTGCAGGTGTCTGTTGCTGTTCGTTTCTCGTTAAGAGATATAAATGACAGCGTAGCAGTGCACTAGGGCATGTTTTATGTGTTTCTGTGTGTGTGTGGTTGCGTGCATCGGTGCATGTGACAGAATGATGCATCAGCTTTGTTTTACAGGACACACACACACACACACACACACACACACACACACACACACACACACACACACACACACAAACACGCCTGCAGTCATTTATCAAGCCCACAGCCGGGGCTGAGGGCCGGCCCCAGGGAAGGCTCAGAGGTTTGTACCCTGTGGCACCAAGTGGCACCTTCATGTCACCCAACACCACCCACACCTCGTCGACAGCTCGGCCTCAGCCTAGGATCCGTTAATTGGACCTGCCACACTCACAGGCTTCGTTGCAGGCGGAGTGATCTAAACGGCTTTGTGGCGTTTGCGAGGTCAGGGCTGGTTTGTTCATTGATAATTCCGCTCCCACCGTGGCCGACCCCTGCCGCCTCAGCCTTTGAGCTCATCCGTCACTCTGTGTGGTCATCTCAAGGTTTACGTGCTCACTCACCGGTGTACAAGCCGCTTGACCCTCAACGCTTATGCAACACGTGACGGCACCGACGGTGGCCAATCGCTGAAGAAGAAGAAGGATGGGTGCAGGATGAAAAACAGGAGAGACATTTACACAGCAAGGTAGAACTAGAAACAAAGTTCAGACAAAAGAAAAGAAGAAAAACTGCCTCATTTTTTATTCCCTCTATATCCCCGCTACCTACGAGTCCTCCCCTCCTCCCTCTATTCAACCTATTTCTATCTCCCTGCGTCTCCTAATTACACGCCGTGTTTGCACTGTGGGAACACGCTTGCCACTTGTTCTTTCTTCAGCGCGAGGGACACGCCGGTGGAGGAGACAGAAGGGAGGATGCTCATGCGCAGGTGTTGTGCATCGCGGCAGAACTCCCTCCCGCTCCTTTTGTATAGCACACAAAGCAAGGACACGCTGGGAGCCGCTATGGAAATGATGCAGAGAGGTAGATCAGAAGGAGCGAGGCAGGCGCCGGCTTTTCTCCCCCTGGCTCCCCTCCGTCCAGCTCCTGCTCATCCTCCATCCTTGTTTTTCGTGGCATAAGCAAATAGAGTTTATGGGGAGGAACCCGTCGCAGTGTGTGTGTCCTTCACGCGAGGCATCATCAGAGTGTATTGACTCCGAATGAGAGGCCCGACTCTCCGTCGTTCCCCCTTCCTTAATAAGCCGTTTCATTTCAGCGTGTTTGTCAGAGCAGAGCTCAAAAGCAGAACATGATGTAAAGAGGTAGAGAGGTTGGCTTAGGGGGCTTTCATATGCAAAGCAGCAATGCGTGGAGATTTTTCTTTTTTTTGCAGGTAATGTGGGATCTGAGGGACTGAGCCGTAAACGATGAGTTTATGTCCTTGATGGACTCTGCAAACTCACCGACTTCCCCAACTTGCACTTTTTCTTTTTCTTTCTTTCTTTCTTTCTCTCAGTGTCTATATATGTTCTCTTCGGTAGTTTTTGTTTTTCCTCTCACTTTTCTTTCCCTCAACTTTTTTAATTGCTTAGCGAGACATGCACACTAATTAAAGGTTGACAAGTTGAAGAGATCAGGAGCAAGAAAGGATTCAAATGAACTCATGAAAACCCCTTTAAAACATCAAAATGAGCTATTCATTTGACCAAGAAACAAAAACAAAAAAGGACTCCACAAGCATCTGCAACCGATTCGTGCAGTGTTTTGCTTTCTAGTTCACTGCGCAGAGATATGTCACAACTCCTTAAACAGAGTCTTCTCCAGACAATAACACTTAGACCGGACATCAATCCTTGCCTCTGCTGAGGAAGCCAATGCATATTATGTTCTCATAGCAGCATCTCTTCCCAAAAAGGGAGACGCATGCAGCTGCAGCTCTTGAACGCTAGTACCCTCTATAGCTCAGCAGTGGTACTGCATCCCAGCATGGTCTCCAATACAATGTCAAAGTGCAAAGCGATGAGGCGGAGCCGTCGTCTCGCTATTCTCTGATCAGGGCTATTGATCGGTGGTCGGTCCTGGTCCTTTTATTATGTCATGTTTTCTCTTTATGTGCTATTGACTTTTCCTTCACTCAGTGTTCAGAGTAAAACATACAAGTGAGACAGAGACTGATGGACGGATATAGGCAGAGACGAATATCACCTTAGCAGCCTCTTTCTCTTTGCCTGTGTTGCATTGTTTTTCTCCTTTAGGCCTTCTCATGTATAATCTTATGTGTGTGTGTGTGTGTGTGTGTGTGTGCTCATGAATGTATATCTGTTGTTTTCTGCATGACAGCCTGTGCAGATGGGCGTGTGTGCACTGGCAGGTTTTACATTGTGTGTGTGTGTGAGAGTGTGTGAGAGAGTGTGTGTGTGTGTGTGTGATTTTGTTTTACCCTGTCGGAGAAGCTCAGCTGCAGTGCGGTGCAGCGCCATGCTGGCACTAATTAAACATCAGTCCGTTGGTTTAATTGGATGTGTCTGTTTCCTTGACTGCAGCAATGAAGGGAGGCAGAAAGAGAGAAAAATACTTGTTTTTGTTGTTGTCGTTTGTTTTTAAAGAAGAGCAGGAGTGAATGAAAGATAAGTTAACTTGTCTGTAAGCGACAGGTGTGTGCTAATGTAGAGAAGGGTTTCTGATTGTTCTAAACAAGGGAAGTCAAGAAACAAAGAAAGTGTGTGTGCAAACAGGGCAAGGGTGGGTGTGTGTGTGTGGGGGGGGGGGGGGGTTCGGGTTGGAACGCTGCAAGGCATACCTGCTCCATTTGGTACATTTGGCTGCACTGTAAGTGACCGAAGCGTGCGCTGCACAAGCACTAATATCCAATTACATGCTGTGTTTCAGTGTGATCAGCAGGGCCCCGGGGCTGAAGCTGGTGGTGGAGACTCTGATGTCGTCACTGAAGCCCATCGGCAACATCGTGGTCATCTGCTGCGCCTTCTTCATTATCTTTGGCATCCTGGGAGTACAGGTGAGAGGGCAGGGTGAAGGTGATGATACAGACAGAGACAATGAGGAAAACGAACAGGCAGTTAAACTGCACTCTGGAAGGCAGTGACATGGAAACATTATCCTTCTCCTACCACACTTTCTCCTCTTGGTAGTACTTACATCACGGAATCTTAGCACAAAAACATTTTTGTTTTTCCATGCACTCTGCACATTTTCATTCACACACTGGCACATTTATGGATGCTTATCTGGATGTAATGAGAGTTCATGCCTAACAGCCCAAGGACCAATCTTTACCAACGAGCTATGTTCTGTCACCATGTTTATATCCATAAACCAGATTAATGGCTGTGACGAGACCATGAAGTAGGGATTGGAAGTTGTCACTCACTAAAGAGATCCCATAGAATTCACTGCACCTCCGGTGTTGAAAAAGTGCTAAATGTTGGCAGGACGAGTGCAGTTATTCAGTGACCTATCATTTATTTCTGATATATTTTATACCAAGCAGCAATTGCTGGGTTGCTTAGCTTAACTCTGTCTGAAGGTAACAAAATCCTTAAACGAGGTTTAACTGGAAAACAGGAAGTTCAACGGTCTGGGAAAGCGTTTCTGCTGTTCTCTCCACCCTGAATCCCGAGCAGTGATACCTCTCACTCACACTTCAGCTGCAGACTTCTAGCTGGTCTCACTGCAGCTAACAGGATGGTGGTCTACCACTGGAAATGAACAGACTTTTTTATCAATAAAAGGTTGCCGAGCTGGAGCTCTCTTGTGCATAGTTTTTGTTTAAACTAAACAATAACATGACTTGTTGCATAGAGGTACTAAAAAGAAACTTTCCACAAATGGCATCATTTGTTTTTATGAACCACTTTTCTGTTGCGGTTCACTGTAAAATAAAGGGAGAGTCTGTGTTTTTCCTCCCCAGCTCTTCAAAGGGAAGTTCTTCGTTTGTGTCGGAGATGACATCATGAACATCACCAACAAGTCAGACTGTTTGCTGAACAAAAACAAATGGGAAAGACACAAGTACAACTTTGACAACCTGGGACAGGTGAGGCCTCGGATGTGCCAATGTTCCCGGTCAAATAGGTTTTATCCAGCTGCTTCAGTATTAGCTTTTTGCAACCATTTCAGTGTAGTATGTATCTCTATCACACTGCGTCTTCCCTTTCTCTCTCTCAGGCCTTGATGTCTCTGTTTGTCCTGGCGTCCAAAGATGGCTGGGTGGACATTATGTATAACGGACTAGACGCTGTTGGAGTTGACCAACAGGTAAACATATTCAAAGTCGAACACAAAAACACACCTGCAAAGTGGCTCCATAGCCCATATAATTGATCTATATGTGAAGAAAATCATTTGGGGCCATCCACTCAAAATGATTTAATGTTAAAGTTATTTATAAGTTAGAAGGCAAAACAGGCTTCCACTGTGAATGCCTCCAAAATCCTTGTGTCCCTTGTATGTTTCAGCCTGTAATGAACCACAACCCGTGGATGCTGCTCTACTTCATCTCCTTCCTGCTGATCGTGGCCTTCTTTGTGCTCAACATGTTTGTGGGCGTCGTGGTGGAGAACTTCCACAAGTGCCGGCGCCACCAGGAGGCCGCCGAGGCCAAGCGCAGGGAGGAAAAGAGACTGAAACGCATGGAGAAAAAGAGACGGAGTAAGGAGAAGGAGCTGGCTGGTCGGTAGTCTTTCCACATCTTTCTGAGTCCTGCTTGATTTGAGCCTGAGCCTTCTTTTTTCTTTTTTTTTTTGCTTTTTTAATTTGGTTTGGCCGAATTTGGAAGAACGCAATTAGTGAGCTAGTACCAACTACAGTTGCTATTCTGCGGTAGAACCTTCCCTTTTCCCTCGACCATCCTCTTTTCCTTTCCTCGTAGGTCCTTCGGCTACTTTTTGTCCGATGGTCACCTATTATGGCTCTGCTGACTCTGCTACAGACTGTGGAGGCTCTTCTTCAACTCCACCATCAAATTGATCAAGATTTTAAGAAAAACTTCCATAATCGGCCGGTTGGCAGAGCTAGGACAGCTGACCGCTGGCGTTAGCCTCCCCCCACCCCCCCCCCTTTCCCTTCTCCCTTACCTTGCCTGGTCTTCCGTAGAACGTCGTGCTTGGGATGGCCCCTTGGAGCATGCCCAGTGAGTGCTGACAGATGGGGCTTGCATGGTAGTGGGTATACAGAGCTAGAGGGAGGGGGAGTTGTTGAACATTTAATCGCTACAAACGAAAACGAGACGACCCCCCTCCCTTCCCCTCTTCTGCATGTGGTTTAGTACAGCCGAGGGGGCAGGGATAGACTCAAATCTGGAAGACAATGAAGAGTTTGCCCTGTAGTTTTCCTGTCGCTAAGATCTGAGATCCATTTGGGTGAGATTTGTAGGAGTCAGCGCTAATTCCCTGCCCGTTCCCCCTCCCCTTTGGCTGTATAGGAGTTGGTGACAAACTGCTTGGTTTGGTTTTTATACTTTCCACTGCCTCCTATATGCAGAAACACAAGTGCCAACAAATGCTAGCATTCGACTTTTTGTGGATTTAGTGCCTGTACTTGCAGCATTTTACCCGCTTAATCCAAAGGCACTTTATTCAATTTCTACAAGGAGCAGTGGACATTATTGTTTTCTTAAAGGTCCGTCGATATGACATGAATATTGCATTTGACAATAGGAATGTTTCCATCCAACTCTTGAGAAATACAGATGGAAATTGATCTTCCCTTTTCAGGAGGCGTCTGCCAAGGGTATCCAACCAATCGAGAAACTCTCCCAGACCCTTGCTCCCTTAATCTAACACATGTACACTTTATACCTCGAGGCCCCTTGTTCTCTTGAAAGCACACAAATTCTTTCATATTTTGAAGTCGTTCCCCTGTTTTTGCTTCTTCCTTTTCTGATTTTTTGGTTGAAAAGGTTTTTTTTTTTTTACTGGCTTGGTATTTTTGCCAGGAAACCTTTTTCCGGTACGGTATAGGGAGAAAAACAAGACTAGGTGTTGGTTTATTAAAACTAGGTGCTGGTTGCTTATAGAAAGAGACAGCTTACTGGTGCAAGTCAGTAGAATAAGGTTTGTAAGGCGGTTATAAATATCTGCTTTGGTTCAAGAACTTTGGTTTGAGAGTAAACGGATTCCTGGTTGTTCCAAAACAAAAAAGTGTTAATCCAAAGAACTGGACTCAGAATCACTGGAAAGACAAAACGTAGGAACATAAACCAGCTTAATCTGCCATCACTTCCTTCTGGCCTTACTCCATCCCTCTTTCCCTCTCTTTGACTCTCTCCTGTTTCAAACTCTCAGTCAACCTTCCTTCCTTGCTTTCTTCTGCTTCTGTCTGACTAACACGGTCTCATTCCTCTAGATTTATTGGTTCCGGGGGTGAGTTGGGCACTCTCTGAAGGCACATTGAAAGGTACAGAGTTTTCAGCATGTTCTGTGTGTCCCTTCAAAACCCTCACCACCACCGACCACGACCACCCACCATGGTGGCTAGGGTTCTAAGTTCAATGATCACCGGAGGTAGGGCCCCATCCCGCGTTCCCGCCCCCCTGCCTCTCTCCCATCAGCTCTCAGTCCGCTGGACGTGCTGTTACCTGTTTTCTCTGTCATGGCTTTGTCTTTCACAGCACTTCCACACCTGCCGCGATCCATCCACAGTCCATGGCACTGCACCGCTGCTGCACCACCACCACCACCACCACAAGAGAAGGAGACTCTTGTCTTGTTAAGTTGGCAGGGAAACTGAGATGGGGACGTGGTGAGACAGGGAAAGGGTACTGAGGTGCAACAAATGTCGGACTTGGGTAAAGGATTCCAGAGTGTATTTTTCCTTATAAGTCAAGGGCACTGCGGTCCAATAATTCTTTCAGTACACATTGAAGAATAATTCCAGTTTACTACATCCTGGGCCCATTTTTAAATAATATCCATCTTTTCTGTTAGTTGTGATACTATGGTGCTCAGCAAGCCAATTGCTGAAATCTGGGAAGTGAAGGGCAAGAGACACAGGTTGTAACAAGACCCGAGCTTTGATCCATCCAGTAGATGTTGAGCTATTTCCTTGAGTAAGAGAATCATTTTGGCCTGCTGATGGCTCTAGATGAAAATGCAGGGTATCACCAAAGTCATTGGAGTTCCTCTTGGGACCATGAATGTCTGTACAAAATGGATCTGCAATCCATTCAGTAGAGATATTTCACTCTGAACCGAAGTGGTGGACCAACCAACTGACGCTGCCATCCTTAGAGCCTTGCCAGCACGGCTAAAATCAAGACTGAGGGTCAATAGCCGTGCCAGCAGCTCTGTGAGACTCTACTTAGGCAACCTTAGAACCCATCAGTTATCGGCCTGATGATGATTTAGCCTCTGGGGTCAACGGACAATGTATTCATAATTATAAGCTCGTTTTAAGCCAATGATAAGATGAATTGTCTTCATATAGATGCTAGCCGTTGGGTTCCAAGATTGCATTTTGGCCAACGTGTTTTGCTCTCCACACGGACTGTTAATCTGCATTAAACCAGCGCCCGATCAAATGTAATTTGTCAACACTACTCTGACTACAAACAGATTACAAACGGAAAACAGAACGCTTCCGATACCAAAATCTACCTGTACCAAAAGCCTACAGATTCTGCATTCATATGCAGATATGTGTATCGTGATTACCACTTTTGCAGCTGACCATATTAAGCATGTTAGCATACCAACACGCGAAATGAATCCAAGACAAATGTATCCAATGGAGACAATGGCCAAAGCTCTTGTAGTAAGGCCCAAGGATTGATAGCTTTGGAATCATCCTTAACACTTCAGTGAATTCGGTTTCTCTTTTTGAGCCTCGTAATTCAAGTCACTGCTGTTACAGTAGACCAGGGGCAGAGAGATTAGAGAGCTTGATCAGGTTGTAGTGGTGCCATCTTGGACGAACAGATTCTCCCTGTTGCTGACATGCTTTAATAACATCCTCTTTTGAAAGTCACTGGCCTCCATTAAAGCGCATTGGACCACAGAAATTCAATCAAGAGCATTTTGTTATTTTCCCATTGAGTCTGTGCTCGATTTAAACGCTTAATTTAAGATGCCCGTCGCCAAAATATGCAAATGTATCACAGTAAATGCAACAAACTCCGTTCGAGTATCCAACTAGTTTTTCTGGCTGCAATCTCCACAGCTTTGGCTCCAAATATCTTGTTGTTGCTTACAAAGAGAACAATCTACTTATAGTTTATCATCAGGCGTGCATCAGTAGCTTGGCATTATTGAATCACGAGCTGAATTAGAGTTAACGCTCTGGCCAAACTGCATGAATTCATCTCTTATTAAGCGAGACCGCAGCGGCTTTATGAACAGCGGTTGGCACTTGTTGGGCATAAAGGTCGTCTCAGGTCTGTCTGAGCACACCGACTGGTTTGCTGGCACACATGGTTGAACTGTCGCAACTTGTCTCCATGGTGATCAGCTTCAGGTATTGTTATGACAGGTGAGAGCTGAGCGCCCCCCTTACCTAACGAATGAACATATGTGCGTTGTGCTTGAGGCATATGTTCGCACATATATTACCAGGTGCAATCTCTGTATAAATGTACGCATTCCTGGAGGGTAGACTTGCATGAGCTGGATGGTATTTGTCTTTCTCTGTGTGTGTGTGTGTGTGTGTGTGTGTGAATGTGTCAGGGGGCAGATAGTTGCAGAACAGGTTGTTAAATATGCAGGAGCAGCTCTCATCCCCAAATCCCCTCTCCTCTCAGTCTGGATGACTGTGTGAGAGGCGAGCGGGACCCCCCCACCCCCGACCCATTGTTGATCCTGTGCGGCATTTCGCTAGGGCTTGCAGCATTTTGTTATTTTCAGCCAAAGGCAATTATAGAAGTGCCAAGAACACAAAACTTACACAGAGAACACACACGGTGTGTTACTGGTGTATTTGTGTTAAGCCGGTCAACACTCGGAGAATAAGGTGTTTGTGTAAAGGGATGTAATGTTTTTAGAAATGTAGTACTTGCTACCAATATCACCAAAATTACAGGATTCTCAATACCAATTTTGATAGCACGGTCAAAACAAAACATTGTGCAAGTGTTAGGGAGTCTGTCTGATATCTAATTTGTATTGTTGTGAAAACATCTCCTTCAAACAACTGTATTTACTCAAGTAGCTTTTTCAGAATTTTGGCATCGGCTTGGTACTGTTGTATTCCTTCTTGTGATAGCCCTAGTGAGTGTGTGTGTGAGCGTGCACGTGAGTCGTGCGCAGTGCGTTTGAGTCTATATGTGCAGACTCTAATCTTTAGCGGAGGACAGTAACAAAGAGAGGGGAGGAGATGATGGAGGAGGCACATTAGGATTTTGGCTGAGATGAGGATGGAGGAAGGAGGAAGGATACATAAGGGTGGATGGGAGAGGTGGAGGCGTGGCACGAATCGACACAAAGATTCAAATTGTGACTATGTACCTATCGACATGCATGGGTTAGAAACACATGTAATCACACCAGAGCTGTGGGGACTTGGACTCGAGTCAGACGCAAGTCTCAGAGACTTGACTGACTTGAATAATCGCATCGTTTTTTCCTACAAGTAAATGGGCTGATTGCTAAAATGCTCACAATGGCAATACTAAGATGCTGGGGATGAATGTCTGAACCAAATTGAATGGCAATCCATTCAGAAGTTTCACATTTCACCGAAAACTCCAAACCTCAGCCTCGTGATGCTGATGTGTTAACACATTTCGTGATAATCCATCAGATAGTTGAAAACCGAAAAAAGTCAAATATGCACCAAAGTCATACGGTTTTATCCTCTGGAGACCATGAATGTCTGCACCAAATGTTCATGGCAATCCATCCAATCGTTGAGTGACCGGCTGACAGACAGACACACACACACAAACACACGTCCAGGACGGCGTAGTTTCCCTCAGCGTTAATGGGAAGTGTCTCCCTTTTTGAGTTGACTTGTTGTGGTGAGTCATGCATTTTGCAGTGAGAACGCTTGTGACAGACACATCAGGAGAAGCTACAGCACACTGCACACGATGTATGCTGCAAAGTGTAAAATATAGTTTGGTATTATATCCTCCCGTCAGTGAGCAATCAGAGAGACGGCATGCTGGATGTTTTGACCGACGGCAGCTTGTATCAGGGTAATGATGCTCTCAGTGTTTCTAGGCTTTTTGGCGGCTGTGTGCAGCAGTAGCAGTCTAGGTAGTGGCAGTTTCTCAGAAGTGTAAAAAAACACGATATGACCCCACGCAACCAAGATTATTACAGCCAGTGTTTGAAACGTATACAGTAGATATGTGAGACAAGATACCAGCATGTACACCCATGATGTGACATGCCTTTTACTGCTGCAACAAATGTACTTTTTTTTTTTATCTATGGGTATTTCTTTTGATTATTTGATAAACTGTTTAATTCCAAAAAGTGTCACGGGACATAATGAGGACTGTCAATGAGCAGACAATCAGGTGAAGTGAAAAAAGGTTTAATCAACAAACCAAAAAACAAGCAGGGAATCCAAAGACAAGACGGAACAGGCAGACTGGGAAACTGGGAACAGGACGAGCAACACGGACGGGTAGGTAGGGAAAAAACAATGACCTGGCAGTGAGTGAGTGAGAGACAGGGGTTTAAGAAGTGACTAGAACAGGTGAGAAGAGTTGTGCTGATGAGGGAGTGCTTGATTACAGATAAGGGACAGGTGAAGGGAGTTGGACTGGTGCTGAGGGAGTGACTGAGTTGAAGAGTGAGGAGCTACAGAAAAACACACAACACATAAGGCAAAGCCTGATTGTGACAAAAAGTCAGAAAATAAGTGTCATCTTCCATTTGCTTATTTTGTCAGAAAAATAGTCAAAAACTGAAAAGGTTACTGATATGTAAAATAGAGAAGAAGAAGAAACGGCGTTGCATTAGACAAGCTAGAACTTACCTCGTGCCCTTTCTCAAAGTCTTTGGGGAGCTGTGTGCTACTAAGCTAATAACCCTTTTTGCCAGAAATTGTGTTTCCATACTACTGATTTGTTTCGCCAGTTACATTTTGTGGGAAGCCTGTAGTTGCTGCCACGATTATATTCGGTTGGAATGATTTGCTGCACCACACTCTCGTACTGCCCAGACGTTGCATGTGGGCGGTCAGTGCGGCCGGTGGTGGGTGTGCAAAACACAAGACTTTGTCACCAGAGACTGGTGTTCACATCCTGAGTTCTGTGTGTGGCTCGGATTCAGGCAACAAACATCACTTTGAAATAGTTCAGGGGAACATCTTGTTTTTGGCTAAACTAAATATTGTATCTTGTCTTTTTCATATCAAGCCAGACCACAATCTTAAAATAATAACAATCTGCCTTGAGTTGTTAACGATGAAAGTATAAAAGTTGAATCATTGTTTATTTGCTGGGAGCAGGT